TCATTCGCCGTTCGAGAGATTGATTTTCATCGAGTTTCCTCCCTAGTTTTATTCAGTTTATCCATTCATAGCCTAAAGACTGTAGCTTTATCAGGTTTGTGTCAGTTGTTCGATTTTTAGTAGCTTTGTGTGGAAACGTTAATCCTTTCATGGTTATTCGCACGATTTGTTTCTGTTGTTTAAAGATTTGTGTGGATGGGCCTTCTTCTTGGTGACATTCAGGTCCTTTGATCCTTTTCTGGGTTGTGTCCATTTTTGGGTTTCTTTGAGTTTTGCTAGTTGTGCTTCTGTCCGGACAAGTTTGCGGGTAATGGGGCTTTTTTTGTGGCTTTACTCGAGTGGTTCCGGATTTTTCGTATTTTCCCTTCGCCGTTGGTGATGTAGATTTTCATCTTTCTCTTGCTAACTTTGTTCAATTTTTCAATTTATAGGCTAACGACTGTGTCTTTATTCTATTTTTAGTTGCTTTGTGTGGAAATGTTATACTTTCATGGTTATTCGCATGACTTGTTGCTGTAGTTTACAGATTTTTCTCTGGTACTTGCGTCTAGTTCTGTTTTTCATCACATATTATCTGCACATGGCTATTGTACTTGGTTCAAGTTTTCAATGAGTCTTATGGAAGATTGAGTAATTAGTGAAGCGCCAAGCTGTAAGATTTGATGAAATTTTGATTTGAACTTGATTTCTAATGATGTAAAGTTTAGGCATTTCAATACTTTGTGTTCCTCACTCTACATTATCAATTGAGTTCATATTTTGTCTTTCTTAGTAATATATGATCATTTCCCTTTATGAAATTTTCTTGGAATAGCAAATAAGATCATTTTTGGCACTCGCATTAAATCCACGAATAAGATCCCCTTAATTTCGATTGTTGATGGTCTTTTCTTGCACAGAAGTTACAATTTATTTTTTTATTTTATCAGAATTCGGAGAATGGCAATGTGACTGCATCAATATGGGGAGCGCTGCCACAGCCACGTGCTGATAGACGCAAGGACAGAGTCGAGACCAACCCTGAGCAGCTTACTGCTGCTTCAGCTCTTGCCGAGATATCCTTTCTACAATTTACTTCGAGTTTGTGTATAATTATGTATGTTTTTATTCGAAATTATTATCTCTTTAGGTTGTGCGAGTGGAAAATTTTAGTAAGTATTCATTTTCGGCTTTGGTACTCGCTCGTGACTTTTAGTGTAAGCTGTTTTTTATATTTTGACGATGTTTGTTGATGAATTTGTTGGATTATTGATATAAAATCTATGCTCGTGACTTTTAGTGTAAAAAGCTGTTTTTATATGTTGATGATGAATTTGTTGGATTAACTTTATTAATACAAAATGACACTAGAAACAGGAAAAACAACGCGAGTGATTGGCTGGTATCACTCGCATCCTCATATTACCGTACTCCCTTCTCATGTAGGTGAGTTTCGAATATGGAAAAACGCTTCACACTGATGTTTTTAGGTTATTATTATTAATTAAGTACCACCAAAATAATTGTAATATTGAAAATGGCTTGGAAAAAAGACAACGAATTTGGTTAGTGTGAGCTTCTAATAACCCTCTTTGTTCAGATCTTTGGGGAGTTTGACAATCCAATTGGATTTTATTAAATATAAAAAGATTCATATTTTGTGAGATTAGTTAAAAATAATATTATTTGAAAATCTCTACAACTTTTGTGGTATTTCTGCAGATGTGCAAACTCAAGCAATGTATCAGCTGTTGGATCCTGGGTTCATCGGGTTGATATTTTCTTGTTTTAGTGAAGATGCCCAAAAGGTTCATATTCGTATTATATACAAAAGAAAGCTGGCTTTTCATATTTTTCATTTTTCTAAGTTTTCATTTGATGATATTAGGTGGGAAGGATTCAAATCACAGCCTTTCAGTCCCTGGATAGAAACCAGGCTCAGATTTCGAAGCCCGTTTCTCTTTTTCCCGTACAACAAAAAGGATCTGTTATTGATTTAGAATCATCTCTTAGTTCTTCAGATAATACCCTTCTCGTTTTTAGAGGAGAAAGATTTGAACAAGACACTGCTGATTCGAGAGCCATCGTTATAACTTCAAAGGTATGTGTGTGTGTCTAGATCAACATTAATCGTGTTTGCAATGACAAATTATGATAACTACCCATTCAAATCTAACCTAAGGGCTTCAAAATAATACTCTTTTGTGGTACTATGAAGAATCCCTTGACTTTTTTTTTATTTGTTCAATGAATGTCCTGTCAATGGTTGTATGTAAATTTTTTTTTGACATTTACGTGTCAGTTTTGGATTTAAAGTGAACCAAGTCCATTTTTTTTTCTCCCCGCATTTAGTGAATTTCTTCTCTATTTTGGAAAAGCTTTATCTCTTTCAGCTCTGGTATTAACAGATTCTTGGATGGTCATTATTTGATATTAACCATGGTTAATTGAACTTTTGTAATGATTGTTCTCGATTGGTTTTTGTTGACCATCTGTCACTGTTGGACTGTCACATGCAAAATTCCTGAAGTGNTCTTTTTTTTTCTTTTCTTTTGTAGACATGCAACTGATTTTACTTCCTTTCGTGTGTTGATTGCATATAATTGGTTAGAATGGAAAAAAATCTCGCCGCTTGGGGGGTTTCTTTTCAAATTCTGATGCGAGAAAGGAAAGTAATCACCATGCAAACAGTTTGAATTATTCTGTTCGTAATTTGGATGCCATGGACGTTTCAGAAGGTATGGAAGAAGCAATCCACCTGTCAAGTATGGAGATGAGGTAATATTTTTTTATTTTTTTTAAGCTGAGGTAATATGAGTATGTGCTTTTTATCATTTCATTTTTCTGTTATTGTTTCAACTTTCAAATTTCGTCCTGTACCTTACAAATTACAAACATTGCTTTTCTTAATAAATTTACTATATATAATCGAATGAAAACTTGAGGCTGTTTGTAACGTTAAGAAAACGTTAAGCTCTGTAATCGTAAAATAATTGACGATATCTGCATATCCCTTCAGATTAATTAACGGTTGGAACAAAATGTAAAACAAAATCAGATTTAAAGGGTAAATATTGCTCTAGGGATAGCTCACTGTACTTAGGATTTAAGCAAAAGCTTATTTGTTTTCATCACTTTCACAATTTGACATTTTGGTGTCTTATTCTGCAAAATTATCTGAAAGTGTTTTTTTTTTGGTTTGTTACCAGTCAGGCTGAGTTTGTGAGGAAGGAAATATCACTTCATGTTTTCCCTTTCTCGACTCTTACCAGTCTCGATTCTCCTTTGTCTTCATTTGCTTTTCTCCAACACGTAATGTATGAAGAGGAAAAGACTGCATATAACCAAGCCATTACACAGAATACAAGGTGACTTATCGAGTGGCATACTTCTATTAGTTTTTAGGCTATTGACAAAATTTACTATGAAAATTAGTGATTGTTACTATTATATCTCCCCATTATCCTTCAAAACTAGTAATATATCCAATCGACACTTCTCTTTCACAAACTGCAGAGAGGATATTTGTTTGGTAAATTCAAACTTAAAAGGGTGTGAATGTGATATTTTACGG